TGACAGTAGTTTCTAGTCCTTAAGGGAAAATTCTATATAACGCAAAAATTTCGTCTTTCACAAAACCCGAACCTTAGTCTCCCGCACATGAAGCGTCACGCTTACCACCACACCAAGCCGCCGTTGAGAAGAAAGGCGCGTCCAAGTAATTTAAGTTTTCTTATGTTAAGCTCCCTGAAACCACCCTCATAACTCCGTTCACAGAAACGCTCGGCAAATTTGGAAAGCAGATTTGAACTCAGCATCCAAAAACGCGTCCAGCAGTGTAGGTCTCATTTCAAATGGCCATTTCGACTTGGGATCCTTCCCTGGTTAGTATTCTTACTCCTTATTTCGGAACCAAAACTTGTCACTACTAGCTAAAATATAAAGCAGGGAAAAATAGAAGTAAAAAGTAGTATAGGAAAAATATAATAGGAAAATTCCCACGACAAAATGCCGAGATAAGAGGGATAAAAAATAAATGGAAAAATAATGAGTTCTTGCGAACATCACACGCATGGAAGACCTGTCATCTATACGGGACGTGATAGAAAAATCAAAATCACAATAAAATGAGCGATGAGAAAAAGGAGCATAATTATCTCAAACAGTCATCCCGTAGGATGAGTCATCAGTGCGAGCTGGCGATCGATTGATGTCGTAGGCTGGTGCAGGGGACAGCACCCAGGTGCAGTGATCTGCAACTAGTATGAATGCGGCCTATGGGTGCATTGGCTGCTTTCAGACTTCGACATCCGTCCGTACGTCCGCTCAACGCGTGCTGCGACGGTGGCCGCGTGCGTGCCATGACTGCGGTTCTAGAAAGGTGTTGACAGCACCAGCACGTGATCTAGTGTTGTTATCACCTTTCTAGGACAGCCGTCGGACAAACGGACGGGCGTCGAAGTCTGAAATCAGCCATTCAGAGCTCAACGACGTGCACGGCGTTGCTTTCAACATATTGACAACGCAGGACAGGTTGCGTTCATGGCTGCGAAAGCGGTATTCTTCGTCAACACGTGGCCAGCAGCGCCGTTAGTCGGTCGGTCGGTAAAACAATACACGTCTTGAACTCTGAAAGCATCTCACAGTTCTCGTTGTGCCCTCGTGAATTTTTGGTGAAATGACACACAAAACGACATACAACGAGACATGCAAAGTTAGTGCTTCTATATATAAGGTTGAGCAAAAAGTTCTGATCGACTTTTCACCCCTTGCTAGATTCTTTCAGGGGCCCCTTGAAAGGATTTTGTAATAGGTTATGGTAGACCGTTCCCAAACCTGTATTTAAAGGCACCGTTTACGATAAATTTAGGGTACCCTTTTTTGACGGGAATTCATAGAACTACTCTAGAATAAAGCGATAACAACGAAAAAAGCGCAAAAAACGATGAACAAGAAGAAATAGAAAGGGTCAAAAAAGAGCTGGAAAGGGGGGTTGGACGAGTTTCACATTGGAAGAACGGCGGCTAAAGGAATGTTCGGGCGAGTGCACGAAGGCGACGCAATGTCTGCAATAGCAGACAACACACCCAAGCAGACACATCGCTCCAATGCGAATGTGGTGAAGGACAATTAGAACTCCTAGTCAGCCTAGCGAGGGGCGGAGGCCTCCCGTCCCCCACTGTTCCTGCCCTTATTGTGCCCTATCCAGACCGTTTTCCGACCTCATTCCTGCACAAATGGTATCAGAGGGGGCGTCGAATTCAAACCATGTGCAGATCTCCGGAACCATTTCTTCGTGAACAGTGCCTTTAAGGGGATAAATAAGCATGCCCTCGTAAGTGTCTCGCATTCGTGATTCAACCTTCAACTACCGACCAAAGTTTTGCTGGAGATATCGTCTATTGCATACTTCTGTGAGGGCATAATCGATCAATGGCTCTCGCAAATATCCTCCGCGCACTCAGAAGATATCGTATCTCAACTCACGGGTGCCTCATGGCGAAGCACATTCAAGACGGCGGAAAGCTGGACTGCATCCGAGGAGGGGTTTGCTGTGTTGTTGGTGGGATTTTAGGGAATGCTTTACTTTGAATTACTTCCTGAGGGTTCCACAGTGACCGCAGAGCTTCGCGCTTCTCAGCTAGGGAGTTTGACCGACGTTATTCGAAGGAAGCACTCATAGCGGGGCATTGCTTGTCTTTTTCACGACAGCGCATGCTACGAAACTGCCTCGTCAGAAAATTGCCATACTCCGATGAAAAGTGCTGTCTCCCTATTCGCCAGATCATGCTCCGTTCTATTATCATCTGTTTCATGCTTTCAAATATTATCTTCGCGAAAGAAAGTTCATGATCGCTCAGAACTCGAAGTTTAGATTTCTCGCTTCTTACTATATTACTGATCGAGATATTTTTTCTTTCCGAGAATAAGAGCTTTTAAAGTGAATATGAAAAATCGATCAGAATGTTGCGGAATCTCGGTCGATGGGTGCCTCATGTTTCGAAGCAGTATGACATGGACATGGCACTTTCTCTCCTCACGCTCAAGCGCAGGAAACGGTCAGAT